CCTCCCCCTCGCGGGGGTATACACTCAGCCAGTGCTGCTGTTGGTCTCTCACTGTCTCCCGTTGTTGTTGTTGTTTAGGTACCTGCTGATGAGCTGAGTGATAACAGTGCAGAGTGTGTCGTTTGTCTGTCTGATGTTCGTGACACCCTCATCCTGCCCTGTCGTCACCTGTGTCTCTGTAATGCCTGTGCTGACACCCTGCGATACCAGGCCAACAACTGCCCGATCTGCCGCCTCCGTAAGATCACCATTAACTAGCATAACCGCTCGGTAACTAGCGTAGCTGCTTGGTAACTAGCGTAACCACTCGGTAACCAGTGTTACCACTCGGTTACTAGTGTAACCACTCAGTAACCAGAATAACCGCTCAGTAACCTGTGTAACTGCTCAGTAACTAGTGTAAATGCTCAGTAACCTGTGTAACCACTCAGTAACGTGTGTAACCGCTCAGTAATCAGTGTAACTGCTCAGTAACTAGCGTAACCGCTCGGTAACCAGTGTTACCACTCGGTTACTAGTGTAACCACTCAGTAACCAGAATAACTGCTCAGTAACCTCTGTAACTGCTCAGTAACTAGTTTAAATGCTCAGTAACCTGTGTAACCGCTCAGTAATCAGTGTAACCACTCAGTAACTAGTGTAACTGCTCAGTAACCTGTATAACTGCTCAGTAACCAGAGGAACCGCTCAGTAACCTGCATGATCTCTTATAACCATAAACAGTACAACCACTCAGTAACCAGTGTGCCTTCTCTCATAACCAGTATACCCTCACTGCAGTAACTAGTGTAACCCTCTGGTAACCAGTGTGCCCCACTAGTTACAAGTGTGACCAACAATACCAGTGTGCACCACTGTGCTGCTCCCCTAGCCAAGCTGTTCCAGTACAGTTACAACACTGGTATCTACCCGACAATGTGGAAAATTGCCCAAGTATGTCCTGTACATAAAAAGCAGGACAAATCCAATCCGGCCAATTCCCGCCCCATCAGTCTCCTCTCAATCATCAGTAAAGTGATGGAAGGTGTCAGTAATAGTGCTATCAAACAGCACCTGCTCAGCAATAACCTGCTCAGCGATGCCCAGTTTGGGTTCCGCCAGGGCCACTCAGCTCCTGATCTCATTACAGCCTTGGTTCAAACATGGACGAAAGAGCTGAATTCCAGAGGGTGAGGTGAGAGTGACAGACATTCACATCAAGGCTGCATTCGACTGAGTGTGGCATCAAGGAGCCCTGGCAAAACTGGAATCAATGGGTATCAGGGGGCAAATGCTCCGGTGGTTGGAGTCATACCTGACACATAGGAAGATGGTTGGGGTTGTTGGAGGTCAATCATCTCAGCTCCAGGACATCTCTGCAGGAGTTCCTCAGGGTAGTGTCCCAGGCTCAACTGTCTTCAGCTGCTTCATCAATCCATCATAAGGTCAGAAGTGGGGATGGTCGCTGATGTTTGCACAATGTTCAGCACAATTCGTGACTCCTCAGATACTGAAGCAGTCCGTGTTCACATGTAACAAGATCTGGACAATATCCAGGCTTGGGCTGACAAGTGGCAAGTAACATTCGCGCCACACAAATGCCAATCTATGACCATCACCAATAAGAGACAATCCAACCACCGTCTCTTGACATTCAATGGTGTTACCATCACTGAATTCCCGACTATCAACATCCTGGGGGTTACCATTGACCAGAAACTCAACTGGACTCACCACATTAACACAGGGACTACAAGAGCAGGTCAGAGACTGGGAATACTGCAGCGAGTAACTCACCTCCTGACTCCCCAGAGCCTGTCCCACCATCCACAAGGCACAGGTCAGGAGTGTGATGGAATACTCCCCACTTGCCTGGATGGGTACAGCCCCAACAACACTCAAGAAGCTCAACACCATCCAGGACAAAGCAGCTGCTTCACTAGCACCACATCCACAAACATCCCACTCCCTCCCCCATTGACGCTCAGTAACAGCAGTGTGTACTATCTACAAGATGAACTGCAGAAATTCACCAAAGATCCTTAGACAGCACCTTCCAAACCCACGGCCACTTCCATCTAGAAGGACAAGGGCAGCAGGTACATAGGAACACCACCCCCTCCAAGTTCCCCTCCGAGCCACTCACCATCCTGACTTGGAAATATATTACCGTTCCTTCAGTGTCGCTGGATCCAAAATCCCGGAATTCCCTCCCTAAGGACATCGTGGGTAAACCTACAACTGGTGGACTGCAGCGGTTCAAGTAGGCAGCTCATCACCACCTTCTCAAGGGGCAACTAGAGATGGTTATGAATCCTAACCAGCAACATCCATGTCCTATGAATTAATAAAACATAAACAGTGCTCCTGTGTCAGTAACCAGTCTGTTTCTCTCCAGTCTCACACAGTTTAAGGACAGTCACTGGGATTATGTTCCCTGGGGCAGTGAATGTTGATATGAGGAGGAAAAGGGGGTAGACTTAGCCCTGCACCGTTCCCAGGGTTTTGAGGCCAGGAGCAGAGTTACAGGTCACTGATCTCTCTCTCTTTCTCTCTGTCTGTCTCTTGTGCAGCATTCCGTGCTCTCCTGCAGATCCGGGCAATGAGGAAGAAACAGGATCCTCTGACACCGAGTGGTTATAACCCTATCATCACATCGCAGATAGCTGAGACTGATGATCATTCGGTGGGTAGCAGGAGACAGATCCATCCTCCTGGTGACTCCTGAGATCGTTGTGGGGAGGGTGTTGGGACACGGTCCCTGTCTGTGAGCACCTGCAAGCAATAGATTAATCTGTAATGATAGGGAATTGAAATTAATGTCAATGACGAAGAATGAAGGACGAATTAAAAAGTTATTGTTGAAATAATTATTAAAGTGCAGTCAGTGGGAGACCTGGGTATGTCTGGCTGTGACACACAAGGAATGGCCATACTGATCAGTAGAGAGCTGGAACTTTCATATCCACCATCACTGCACCCCCTCGACTACTCCCCACTGAAAACAAGTCTCAGCCCACACCAGTACTCCTTGGATCAATATTATTTTGCTCTTTGGGTTAAAATTGTCAACTAAATTAGTTTGTGCTAGTCCAGCATGGCACAGCATGGATTGCATTGGGTTGTGTAGAGTTGTGTTGGGTTGAGTTACGGTTGGGTTGAGTTACGGTTGGGTTGAGTTACGTTTGGGTTGAGTTACATTTGGGTTGAGTTACGCTGGGTTGAGTTACGGTTGGGTTAAGATACGGTTGGGTTGAGTTACATTGGGTTGAGTTACGGTTGGGTTGAGTTACGGTTGGGTTGAGTTACGGTTGGGTTGAGTTACATTGGGTTGAGTTACGGTTGGCTTGAGATACGGTTGGGTTGAGTTACGGTTGGGGTGAGTTACGGTTGGGTTGTGTTACGGTTGGGTTGCGTTACGGTTGGGTTGAGATACGGTTGGGTTGAGTTACGGTTGGGGTGAGTTACGGTTGGGTTGAGTTACGTTTGGGTTGAGTTACGGTTGGGTTGCGTTACGGTCGGGTTGAGTTACGTTTGGGTTGAGTTACGTTGGGTTGAGTTACGGTTGGGTTGAGTTACGTTTGGGTTGAGTTACAGTTGGGGTGATTTACATTTGGGTTGAGTTAAGGTTGGGTTGAGTTACGGTTGGGGTGAGTTACGTTTGGGTTGAGTTACAGTTGGGGTGATTTACGTTTGGGTTGAGTTAAGGTTGGGTTGAGTTACGGTTGGGTTGAGTTACATTTGGATTGAGTTAAGGTTGGGTTGAGTTATGGTTGGGTTGAGTTGAATTGGGATTGATTTTGGTTGGGTTGTATTGAGTTGAGTCGTATTGCTTTGTGTTGGGTTGGGCTGTGTTGGTTTGGATTTGTTTAATTTTTCTTGGTTTGCATTGAGTTGAGTTGGGTTGAGCTGAGCTGGGTTGGTTTGGGTTGAGATGGATTGGTTTAGGCTGAGTTGCTTTGGTTTGAATTGGATTTGTTTTGGTTGGGTTGCATTGGTTGAGTTGAACACTGCTGCCTCACAGCGCCAGGGGCCTAGATTCAATTCCACCCTCGGTCAACTGCCATGTAGAGTTTCCACATTCTCCCCGTGTCTGCATGGATTTCCTCCGGGTGCTGCAGTTTCCTCCCACATTCCAAAGATATGCAGGTCAGGTGGATTGGCCTTGGGAAACGTAGGGTTACAGAGATAGGTTGGGATGCTCTTTGGAGGGCAGGTGTGGACTGGATGGTCCAAATGGCCTGCCTCCATGCTGTAGGGATTCTATGACTCAATGATGTCAAGCGACGACAGCCTGTTTATCCTCACAGCCCTGCAAGGCTTTCCCAGGCCTGCCAACCTAACCCTGTCAGCTTTAAACAGCTCCTATCCAAGAGCTCCCTCCTTCCCAACTGAGGCACTACCCACCTCCCACACCCATTGCCCTCTCCTGCGGGTGAATCCCCCACCCTGCCACATGGTAAATGTCCCAGTGTCTGATTGGCAGTAGCCATTGCTCCCTCTGATTGGGTCTGACTGTGGGTGGGCTCCATGGTGATGGGTGAGTGCCAGTTTACCTTGTGACGATATTGAGCCTCCCATTGTAGAGGTGACACAGGGGATCCAAGCCTCGCACTGCCTCACCACCACCCCACCCCCCACCCGACCTGCCAATTATTTTGAGTGTTTTCTGTTTGGTGCCACATTTCGAGCAGTATGTGCAGTATTTTACTGGTTTTTGTCAGTGATAGAAAATCCAATTGTCCTCCTTTCCCCAGGCTTCGGATCACATCCCCGTGGGCTATGAGGTCGTATCACTGCTCGAGGCTTTGAATGGACCCCTCACTCCTACACCTTCAGCTCCTCCCATTCACCAGGTCAGAAACAGCGTCACACCCAGTCCTTTACCTACCATTGGACCTAATGGACAAACTCTTCCTGTACGCACCTTGGCTCCACCTGACAGAGTTTGTGACAACAGCAACCCAGGCTTCAAGCTGAAGAAAAGCTCTTCCAAGTAAGAAAAGCGCTCGCTGCTGACAAAACCCAGCCTCATTTTCTGTCCCTCTGTCACGCACTCTCTGTGTTTCTGTCTGTGTGTCTCTCTCAGTCTGTGTCTCTCTCTCTCTCACACTCACTCTCTCTCTCTCACGCTGTCTCTCGCTCTCACTCATCCTAACTTTCTCACTCTCTCATTCTCACTTTCTCGCTCTCTCTGTCTCTCTCACTCTCACTGTCTTTCTCTCACGCACTCACTTTCACTCTCTCTCAATCTCTCATTCTCACTCTCTCACTCTGTCTCTGTCTATCACTCCCAATATCACTCTCTCACTCTTTCTCACTCTGTCAGCTCACTCTCGCGTTCTCTCACTCTGTTTCTCACTCTCACTGTCTCTCGCTCTCACTATCACTGTCTCTCTCTTTCTCACTCTCATTCTCACTGTCTCTGTCTCTCTCAATCTCACTGTCTGTCTCTCTCACTTTCATTCTCTCTCTCTCACTCTCACTGTCTCTCACTGTCTCTCTCACTCTCACTGTATCTCTCTCTCTCGCTCTCTCTCTCTCTCTCTCTCCCTCCCTCTCTCTCTGTCACTTTGCTGACAGGATTCACTCTTTCCCTAAAGGTCAGTTTCACGGAGCTCGTCCATTCTCCATGGGGAAGATGAGGTGAAATCGTTCAGTGATGGGGAGATAGTGTCCCCCACAACACACGCCAATCAGGAGGTTGAGGTACAGTTCCCAAAAGCCTCTGGTAAGATTAATGCAATCCCTATACGATTGTGGTACAGACAGGGCCAGCTGCTGCTACCATGCTCTTTAATGGCACTGCCAGCTTGCTCTGGTGTAGGAGGGCAGAAACCTGTGCCTGCTCTAACTAGAAGGGACTCTTGTTGTAACAGGAACTAGTTCATTGTAGGTTTTGAGTGGGTGGGGGTGTACTGTTGCTCTGATCTCACTGTTTCACAGGACACAACATAAAATAAAAGTATATTTTCCAGTTACTGACCTGGCCAGTTAAATACCTTACCAATATCAGGTTTAAAACTACAAGATCAATCAAACCAATCTCTTCATAAACACAGTTATGCATATATTGTCAAAACAAAACTTAATCAGTGAAAATGCTAATTTACACAATCAGGCAGATAGAAGTATAAATGCTCATGTCAATAAAGATCCCTAACACACACTCACACACTCTCACACACACACAGACACACACACACACACTCTCTCTCACACACACACAGACACACGCACTCTCTCTCTCAGACACACACATTCTCTGTCTCTCTGTCTCTCTCACACACACACACACACACACACTCTCTCACACACAGACACACACACACTCTGTCTCACACACACACAGACACACACTCTCTCTCTCACACACACAGACACACACACACTCTCTCTCTCACACACACAGACACACACTTTCTGTCCCTCTCTCACACACACAGACACACACTCTCACACACACACAGACACACTCTCTGTCACACACACACAGACACACATATACATGAACACACACAGACACACTCTCTCTCGCTCTCTCTCACACACACACACACAGACACACTCTCTCTGTCTCTCACACACACACAGACACACATATACGAACACTCACACACACACAAAACAGCAGGAAAAGAGAAAGAAATAAAGTAGATTCTTTGCAGAGGTTGGCTTCCTGGGAAAAAAAATTGTTTGCCATTATGTCATTCTTGAAGGTATAGGATAAACTGCAGGGTGTTCTGAATCAGTTGCTGTGATGTTCTGGCAGGTTGGGTCAAGTCAATAATCTCCCCCGTTGTCTCAAAAATCTAGCGGATACAGTTTGTTCAGGAACTACAATCTTGAGATGTTCCTTCAGTCCCTTTCAGAAGAATAGCAGGTTTCACCCTGAACTCAACAACAGAGGTTTCTTTTCAGAAGTGAGCAGCTTGTTCTTAGCAGCCATTCCTCCAACTCTGCTTGATAAAACAAGAACCGCCCCAGGCCTGTCCCTGTTCAGAAACAGGGTCCATAGTAAAGTATAGAGTTCCCGCCAGCCCCATGATACCAAGGAAGGCTTGTTTTTAAAAGAAATCACCAATGTACACAGTGACCTTTCAGTGACCTTGATTTAAATAAACCTTCCAGGTATGTCGTCAAAACTTGAAATAAATTCATTTTCTAAATCCTTGACAGCCTTAGTCCTTGGGTCAGATTTTCTGCAGTAACAGTCACAGTCAGATTGTCATTTTGTTCCTGTTTATTTACATTAAAAAGCAGCTGAACACACACCTCAACCACATCCAGCTGAGCTATGTGACTCCCAGCCCATAGGATAGAGAGTCAGGGGAGGGGAAGGGGGGAGGTGTCCTTCTGGACCCTCAGCTACTCTGTCCAGGAGCCCATGCAGCATCATCACAGTTGGTGGTGGGGTGGGGGGTGGTGGCAGCGGGGGTGCACTGGGGGGCTAATGGCATTCTTCAGTTTTAACCCTTTCAGACCATAAACAAATTTAAACATGGGCCCCTTTAACCCGCAGTGAGCCTGAGCAAAGGACTTGTCTTTTGGAAAAAGTTTAGCGGTGAGTTGAAAGTGGAGTTTGTCTTGTTTCCGTGTGAATATCTCGGATACATGTTCCCTGAGCAATGCCTCTTGTCCCTCAGGATTTGAGTGCCACTCCTGAAAGTGAGAATGTGACCCTGTCATCATCTGGAGCTGTCGACCAGTCCTCATGTACCGGCACACCACTGTCCTCCACCATCACTTCACCCGAAGGTAATTCCTTTCTCTCTTAAATATTTCAGGGCCCGCTGTAAGGCTTCAGGACCGGCACGAGGTGGGAAAGTGAGCTGTGAACATGGCATAAGGCAGTTACAGAAAGATAGAAATAGGTGAATGGGGAAAGACGTAGCAAATAGAGTATAATGTGGGAAAATGAGAACTTCTCGTTTTTGGCAGAGTGAATAAAACAGAAGCTGATTATTTAAACGGTGAGAGATTGCAGAGCTCTGGGGAGCAGAGGGATCTGGTGGTCCTAGTGTATGAATCACTGCAGGTTAGTCTATAGGTACAACAAGGAATCAGGAAAGCTAATAGACTGTAACGTTTTATTGTAAGGGGAATTGAATGCAAGAGTAGGGAGATAATTCCTCAGTTATACAGGACACTGGTAAGACCACACCTGGAGGACTGTGTACAGTACAGGTCAGTGTCCTTACAGCTGGATGTTAATGTGTTGGAAGCAGTTCCGAGAAGGTTTACTAAACTAATCCCCAAAATGAGTGGTTTGCTGCCTGAGGAAAGGTTAGGCAGGCTGGGCCTGTATCTGTAGAGTTTCAGAGTCAGAGACAGTTGGGGGTGCGATTTGGGGATGGGGGGGTGTTTAAAGGAGTGGGGGTGGGGGATGGGTATCGAGGTGGGAGTAGTGGGTGAGGGTGTATGGAGGTGGCACTGAGAATCCCTGCCACTCCTGTTTGTTCCATTCACACATGAATACAGAATGAGCTTAAAGCAGTGACCATTTCAGAGACGCATCCCCCACCTCCCCTAAATCCCATGTGGAAGTCTGTCCTGTGTCTCAGACAACAGCTTGCACTCGCATTAACAGCCTCTGAGCAAGAGGAGTATATGTCTCCAAGGATTCACTCCCAATATCCCACTCCTAAAGACCCATCCCCAATATCCCACTCCCAAAGACCCACCCCCAATATCCCACTCCCAATATCCCACCCCCAATATTCCACTCCCAATATTCTACTCCCAATATCCCACCCCCAATTTCCCACCCCCAATATCCCACTCCCAATATCCCACCCCCAATATCCCACTCCCAATATCCCACCCCCAATATCCCACCCCCAATATTCCACTCCCAATGACTCACTTCCAATATCCCACTCCCAGTATCTCATTCCCAATATCCCAGTCCCAATGATTTGCTCCCAATCTCTTGCTGTACACAGTGACTGTCCCCCCACCCCAGTGTACACAGAGTATCTCCCTACATAGTGTCCCTGTTCCCACCTTCCATCGGCTGGCAGTGATGTTTCTGAAATATTTACTCAGCTCTGAGGGCTCTGATCCTGCTCTGTCTCTGCCTGTGTCTTTTGTCTCTTTCTCTCTCTCCATCTCACTGTCCATTGTCTGTCTGTCTCTCTCTCTCTCTCCATGTTCTCTCTCTCTCTTGCTCTGTGTCTCTCTGTGTCCATTTCTCAGATGCCAGCAGCAGTCTGGTGCAGTCAGTGATGTCAATGGCATCCTCTCAGCTCAGCGCAGACACCGTCTCCTCAATGTCTGGCTCCTACCAGGCCACAGGCCCCGATGACCTATTGGACTGTGTTTCTGATGAGCGTCTGCCACTGCCAGCCACACAGGAGGAAGATGAGGATCTCAAGGTGAGTGTGGGTCACTGCCAAGGTCAGCATTTCACACAATCTCTACAGTGCAGAAAGAGGCCATTCAGCCCATCCTGCCTGTGCTGGCTCTTCAAATAAGCCTTATTACCTCGGGCCAATCTCCAACCTTTAATAGTATCTGCGTAACCATCCAGTCTCCTTTTGAATGTCTCACTTGAACCTGCCTCCAGCACATTACTAGGCACAGCCTCTCCATAATTGCCCTCAAACTAGTGACTCTCTCAGGCCATTTCAGGGTCACCCACATGGTTGTAGGTCTGGAGTCACGTGTAGGCCAGTCCAGGTATGACAGCAGTTTCCTTCCTTAAAATCCCCAACCCACTTTAAGAACACTCAATAACAGCAGTGAGTCTGAGCTTCATTTCAATTCCAGATTTCATTCCATGAATTGATGTTCTAAATGTTCGCTTTGTCAATTGAACCCTTGTCCCCAGAACTTTCACTGGGCCCCTGGGTCACTAACTCAGTGACAGTCCACTGCAACACTGTCATCCCACTGCTGCGCAGGATCTGACACTGTTTCTGTCAGGTGTTAGTGTGGGAGATTGCAACACCGTGTCTGTGAGGGTGTGTGTCAGTGTGGGACTGTGTTTGGGAGGGTGTGTGTCAGTGCGGGGCTGTGTCTGTGAGGGTGTGTGTCAGTGTGGGACTGTGTCTGTGAGGGTGTGTGTCAGTG